GGCAACAGAGACTTCATCTCAAAAAAAAAAAAAAAAAAAAAGAATGATACAATGGATGGACTTCAGGGAGGGAAAGGTGGGAGGAGGATGGGGATAAAAGACTATACATTGGGTACAGTGTACACTGCTTGGGTAATGGGTGCACCAAAATCTCATAAATCACCACTAAAGAACTTATTCATGTAACCAAATGCCACCTGTTCCCCAAAAACCCAGTCTCAGGTATTTCTTTGTAGCAATACAAGAACAGCCTAACACAGGAACCACTATAACAAAACTCCATAAGGTATTAACCCTTACTCAAAAATTATACTTCCTTTACTATCCACAATCTTCTGGAATGCTTGGAAGAATAAATAGCATCCTTAAGTTAAAATAAACAAAATTTTCAGAAACCCTTGTGCTCTCTAGGCAAAGGTACTTCCAGAACCCCTTATGGCCATTTGGTTCACTCCCCTGGGGACATATCAGTTCTTCCGCTAAGAACTGGTAACTGGAAGGCCCACTTATTTAGGGATTTTACCTCCAGTACTATACGCTACCATGCTGTATGCAGGCACAGCAAAATAGGGTAAAGGACTCAAGTACTGTCACCAACAGCCTTATCACCAACAGGCTGAGGCCACCTTCCCATATTTTCCTAAACAGCCTCTTTATAATGTTAAATCATAAGATTTTGTCTACTGGAAGAGTCATCCAAGAAAAACTGCTTTTGAACCTTATTGTGAAGGATGTTATCAGGTACCATTAGCAAAAAATACAGCAGTGAAACTCCAGGGAACCAATCAATCAAACTCTGGGGAGTCAAGTTGTCCTCATTTCACAACTAAGGAAACAAGAATTAACGTAACAAGATCCCAGCACTTTGGGAGGCCGAGACGGGTGGATTACGAGGTCAGGAGATTGAGAGCATCCTGGCTAACACGGTGAAAACCCATCTCTACTAAAAAATACAAAAAACTAGCCGGGTGAGGTGGCGGCGCCTGTAGTCCCAGCTACTGGGGAGGCTGAGGCAGGAGAATGGTGGGAACCCGGGAGGCGGAGCTTGCAGTGAGCTGGGATCCGGCCACTGCATCCAGCCCAGGCGACAGAGTGAGACTCCGTCTCAAAAAAAAAAAAAAAAATTAACATAACAAGATGCCTACTCCCATAGAAAATTGCAAACTAGGATTCTCCAGGGTGTTCTATACATAGCTGATCTTCAGAACTATACAGATAATTCAAGATCCTCAGAATAAACTACCCTGAATAGTAGATAGCCTCTGTGCAAGATGTCAGACCAGACCTCTGTAAAGATTCTGTTTTGTTTTTCCTCTGCTTGCTTATGGTCATTCTTCTTTTCATTTTCTATACACCCCTGGTTGTCATCCACTCGCGATGGCCCTTTGTCTCTTTTCTTTCATTTTTGTTGTAATTGTTAGGTCAGAACACACTCATTCTAATGCCATTCTTACATTATCCCAAACAGTAGCCACTGCCCTCCATCTTACCAACACTGGTTACACCATCTGTCACCAGACCAGCATGACAGATACATTTGACAAGTTCTAGTCTCATCAAACGAGTCCACAGGGGAATTACAGGCCATGGCTTTTTCACTTGCACCCACAGAACAAATGACATTAAATAAACACACCTGTGGTTTTACCAGTGTCCTTCTCTCCCAGAAAAAGAAACAATTATGATAATATGTTGATCTGACTCCAGGTAATTCTAAGTTTGAACCCAATGAACTTCACAGGGTGATGAGTGAGTTACTATCACCTGGAAGAGACATTAATAGGAATCCAAATTTGTAACACAGTTAATGTAAGGCCTTTGTTCCAATTTTGAGCCATGAAATAACTCCCTTTTTTTCTGGAGTTTTACGTGCCCTAACCAGGTTCACTTCATTTTTAGCCAGGACATCTATTCTTTATTTTATTTTATTTTTTTTGAGACGGAGTCTCGCTCTGTCACCCAGGCTGGAGTGCAGTGGCCAGATCTCAGCTCACTGCAAGCTCTGCCTCCCGGGTTTACACCATTCTCCTGCCTCATCCTCCAGAGTAGCTGGGACTACAGGCACCCGCCACCTCGCCTGGCTAGTTTTTTGTATTTTTTAGTAGAGACGGGGTTTCACCGGGTTAGCCAGGATGATCTCGATCTCCTGACCTCGTGATCTGCCCGTCTCGGCCTCCCAAAGTGCTGGGATTACAGGCTTGAGCCACCGCGCCCGGCCATTAGGACATCTATTCTTATTTTCCTCAGATTAAGGAATAGTATTTCAAGACTTGCCTGCATATTGAAATCCTAACTCTAGTCACCAATGCTGGAAATTCCAACTCAGGCAGGAGCTCCAAAATGAGATCCCTCGTGATTATTCAGGCACTCTACTTGAGGAATTGCTTCCTTACTGTTTATGTGAACAGAGCAGTGTTCCAATGGTAGGAAATAAAAAGACTGAAAAAGACCTATCACTACCTCTGGCAGAATGTATGAATGACACCACCTCTTCCCTAGATGGAACACAGATCTGTCTCAACTCACTGGCACAAGTTGTGATGGACGACTGCAGTGCTAGGATTGCCTGTTGGCTAATCAAGGTAGCATCTGTGTCACTGCTATTACTTCTTTCTCTACTTGGATTAAGGACACAGACGTGGTAGAATAAGCGATACATCATCTTAAAGAAAGCACTCCTTTGCTCGGTGCTTCTGTACAACTGCTCTCTTATCAGACAACTGCCATAATGACACAAGAAAAAGATCAAGAAGATATTCTGGCACAGTTTACTACAGAGACAACGAAACAATCTCCAAGTGGTGAAGGTCTGGATGTCGTGCCTTCTCTGAACCAGTCAATCTTTCTCAGTAAAGAGAATGATCAAAAAGGAAGTCCTTGACAGTCTTAGTGTTTGTGACTTGTTTATTTGAATAATAATTGAATCATTTTCATATTTATTTGTTTGAGGTTGTGTGCTTGTGTAATAAAGAACTTGGGCCGGGCGCTGTGGCTCACACCTGTAATCCCAGCACTTTGGGAGGCCGAGGCGGGCGGATCACTGGAGGTCAGGAGTTCAAGACCAGCCTCACCAACATGGAGAAACCCGTCTCTTTTTTTTTTTTTTTTTTTTTTTTGAGACAGAGTCTTGCTCTGTCGCCCAGGCTGGAGTGCAGTGGCCGGATCTCGGCTCACTGCAAGCTTCGCCTCCGGGGTTTACGCCATTCTCCTGCCTCAGGCTCCCGAGTAGCTGGGACTACAGGCGCCCGCCACCTCGCTCGGCTAGTTTTTTTTTTTGTATTTTTTAGTAGAGATGGGGTTTCACTGTGTTAGCCAGGATGGTCTCGATCTCCTGACCTCGTGATCCGCCTGTCTTGGCCTCCCAAAGTGCTGGGATTACAGGCTTGAGCCACCGTGCCCGGCCACCCGTCTCTATTAAAAACACAAAATTAGCTGGGCATGGTGGCGCATGCCTGTAATCCCAGCTACTCAGAAGGCTGAGGCAGGAGAATTGCTTGAACCCCGGAGGCGGAGGTTGCAGTGAGCTGAGATCGCGCCACTGAACTCCAGCCTGGGCAACAAGAGTGAAACTCTGTCACAAAATAAATAAAATAAAATAAAATAAAATAAAATAAAATAAAATAAAAATGAAGAACTTGGCTGGACTTTGTCCCTAGTTCCTAGGAAATCACCTCTAGATCACTGGAATTTCCTGAGGGATAGAAGTACCTTTTACTATTCATGGTGGGCCACATCTTGTGGGGGTTCAGTCAGGATGGTGGGGAAAATTATATGACGCAAACTTTCTTGGAAAACCTGGAGGGTTTGCTCAAGTAATAAACTTGGCTGAAGGCAGCCTTGTCCCCTTAAATAAATTAGAGTAGAAACAAAGGAATGTGGGGAGTTTACCTAACTAGTTTGTTTACTCATGTGGTCCTAAGACTAACCTTTGATGTACAGCAGGTGCTTTACTGCTTTCTACTCGGGAAGTCCACAATGTCAATTACCATCTAGTGGTGTTGACTCAAGCCTCTGTCAATTAATCTTTACTGAATAAATGCAAGTCTCACTGGCTGGTCAGGGCTGCGGTCCCAACTGTTGACAGCACTCTGCTTGGAGTCTGTAAGCAGCCTGGACACTCAGCTGGACTGGCAAAGCAGAATGTCTGTGTGTCAGTGTACTTTATCCATCCACTGTTGGGTCAGGGTCTGCAGGACAGACTCCCGCATTTTCTGATAGTTTATGCTAAAGAGGTGACTCACAGTTGGCCTCTACTTTATGCTAATGAGATAACAGGATGGCTGCGATGGCTGCTGGTCATGCCAGAAATACCAAGCATGTAATTAGAGTTGGGGCTTTGAGCCATGTAATATCAGCCACACCTCTAGGGAGAGGAGGGGGAGCTGGTGATTTGAGTTCCACTGTGAGGTCAATGATTCAATCATTCATGAATACGTAATGAAACCCCAATAAAAACTCCGGACACCAAAGCTCCGGTGAGCTTCCATGGTAGGCATTTCTCTGTGCATTGTCACACATCAGTGTGCCAGCAGGGTAACATGCTGCAGGGGAGACAGACGCTTTGCATTTGGGGTACTCCCATACTCTTCCCCACGCATCTCATCCTTGGGCTGGTTCTGATTCGTATCCTTTTTCTATAATTGTCATCATAAATACAGAACTCTCCTGAGTTCAGATATTCATTCTAGAAAGTTATCAACCTGCAGGGGTTAGGGGAATTCCTGACTTTGTAGCCAATTGGTTATAAGTAAAGGTAGCCTGGGAACTCCCAGATTTGTGGCTGGTGTCTGAAGTGAGGGCAGTCTTGTGGGCTACTGTGTCCTTAACACATGAAATTTGGCTTAACTCTTGGTAATTGGTATCAGAAGTCATCATACTGCTACAAAATAACACTGAATTTCTATGTAAGCCCCCCCTACACACACACCCCAACCTATCCCTAGAAGATGGAACAGTGCTCATCTATATTTGCATTTGAAAAATAACTACAGTAAGCAATATTACATTTTTCTAAAGAAATATTTAACAGGTAGTTTTCTAGAAAGAAGGCTTTTCATCTAGTACAAAAACATGCAGCCGGAAGCACTGAGAAAACTGGGCAACACAAGAGAAGCGTGAGATGTGACACGAAGCAGCTGACAGTCTGCGTAAGTCAAAAATAAAATTCTAAGCAACAACCAACTGAATGGACCCTTCTGCTTGGCCAAGAGCATTCTAAAGTAAACCTGAAACACTAGTTCAGGCCATGATGGGAATGGGTGGTCAGACATACCTCATTATACCTTCCTCTCATTCAGGCACAGTGGACCAGCATTAACTTTAAAACAGAGACCTTAAGGCCGACACAAACAGACTCTTTGTAACAAAAGGTAACACGACAGATAACAGGCCCTGAGAGAAATCTAAGTGTTTTACCCTAAAATAAATTTCTCTGAAGTCTGATAAGAAGCATTTACAATCTACTCTCTCTGAAGCCTGCTACCTTCTGGCTTCATCTCATAGTAAGAACCTTGGTCTCCACAACACCTTACCTTAACCCAGACATTCCCTTCTATTGATTCCAGGTCTTTGGACAAACCCACTGCCAATCAGAAAATCTTTGAATCCACCTATAACCTGGAAGGCCCTCCCTCTGTCCCTGTCCCTTCCCCACCAGCTTCAAGTTGTCCTGCCTTTCTCTATCGAACCAATGTAAATCTTACACGTATCGATGTCTGACATTCCCCTAAAATGTAAAAATGTATGAAACCAAGCTGTAGCCTGACAGCACAACTGTCTCTTCTTCTCACATATCCTTGCCATGTTAACCATACTCACCAGTTTGAACCCAGGGTCCTGCCCTCCAAAAATCCTTTGCCCTTCCTGCAAGATAAATCCTCACTCCCGTGTGTGGTATACAATGTCCTCTTTAGGCTGCGCCAACCTGCTGCTGCTCCTGACAAGAGCCACTTTGGGCACATGTTCTCAGGATCTCCTGGGGCTCTGTCAGACTGGTTTCTTATCAGACTTAAGAGAAATCTATTTTGGAGTAAAACCCTTTGATTTCTCTCAGGGCTTACTGTCATGTTGTTATTGCTACAAAGAGTCTGTTTTTGTTTGTCGTAAGGTCTCTGTTTTAAGGCAAATGCTGGTCAACTATGCCTACAGGTCAGTCATATTTGTCTCAGAACAAATCTCTTAAAATATTTTACCATTTGACTTTTTCTGTTGTCAGCTGGTTCAGGAAATAAGAAAGTGGTAAAGTGATAAAAATTATTTCAATAGATCAAGACAGTGATAAGATTTACCACAAGTCTAGATATCATCCATTTTAAAAAACTTATGCGAACAAAGGTTTATGATCACAGATGGTAAGATACGACTTCATATCAGTTTCCAAGAGAACACCTCCCCGAGGAAGGGAAAGTTACACGGGTTTCTGACTGATTACGTAGGCTTCACGTAGGTAGAAAAGGTGCCCCAGGCTGATGGAACAGTAAGGTAAAGGTTTACAGGCTGAGAAGTAGAAAGGCATGTCTGAGGGATGATAAGACAGCGTTTGTGTGCAACGGAGGCTTCTGTCAGGAGCGGCAGGAGGTTGGGGCAGCCTAAAGAGGACATTGTATACCACACACGGGGGTGAGGATTTATCTTGGAGGAAGTGCAAAGGATTTTTGGAGGGCAGGACACTGGGTTCAAACTGGTGAGTATGGTTAACATGGCAAGGATACAAGAGAAGAACAGAGTTTGGACAAAGACCAGTTACAAAATTGTGACAGATGTCCAGGTATAAAGTGATCTGGGTAGGTACAGAAAAGAGCACTGGGAAAAAAGGGAGAGATGGAGCAAGAAAATATTTGCTATTTCTGCTCCCGTAAACCTTGGCTGTCTGGGAAGAAATTTCTGTGTGATTTTTGGGCTCCAAGACTGGCATCTCAACCTCAGTTGTCCAAGTACTTCCAGATCCAGATGCCCCCGTGCATCCTGCCTGCCCTGGCCAACCTTGTGGACTCTTAGACCCAGCCTGTCTGCATGGGCCCGCTTTGTGCTGCTTCCCTGAATTCTGGGCTCAAGTTCCTCCTCTGGACTTTAAATAGTTGAAGGATTTCCCTCGGTATAGGCTAATCCTATTAGGCAAGTATCCTTCGGTCTACACCAGCTCCTGGTCTAGGCTTCCCCACCTGGGTTACCGAGCCAACATCGCAGGGACTCTAAAGAAGAGTCTGACAAGGTTCTGAGACCCAGTACATGCAGGGGTAACTGTTATAGAAAATAGAAAGTGACACCAAAAATGCACAGATGGTTTGAAGTAACAAACAAAACAGGAACATTTGTTTAGCAATGGTTGGTATATCTGTAAATTTGATTTTGAAAACTGATTTTATTGAAGTATATTTGCCATAAATCTGCCCATATAAAGTGAACAATTCAATGATTTTTAGTGAAGTTACCAAATTATTCAACCATCACCACCATATAGTTTTGGAACATTTTCATCACCCCGAAAAGATTCCTTGTAACATTTGCAGTTACTTTGTTTCTGAAGATCTGCCATTTCTGGACATTTCCTAAAATGGTACTAGAAAATACGCGGTCTCTGACATCTGCCTTCTTTCACTTAGAATCACGTGTTTGAGATCTGGATTGTGTGTAATGTACCCATATTTTAGTAATTTTAATGTTTAAACAAGGTTTCATTTCACTTCAAAAATTCCAAATCTATTAGCATAAAGATGTAATGAAAATTGCTTTTTGTTCAATCCTAGACCGCTCCATTGCCTCACAAAGAAAGGTAACATGTGCTACAGAGAAAGCAGTGCATGGAGGTGTTGTGCTGGAAAGGTCCAGTCTACTAATCTCCACGCTACAGCTGTGAACCACAGGAAAGAGGCCCAGCCTGTCGCTTTTTGAACATCAGTTTCATTAGCTCTAAACTACGACTGGGCTAGATCACGGGTAGCCGTCTACCTTTCTCAGCCTCCATCCTCTGCACCATGCATGGCACCCTGCCCCGTCAGTAACAGCATGAGGAGGCAATGCACAAGTGTGGTTATACAAATGGCCCCACCAGGCAAAAAATCACCAGACAAGGTCATTTCTCAGCTTCTTTTCAGCTCTAGTTTCATACATCTCAACCTGGAAAGGAACTTTCCTCACATTCATCATGTTCCCAGGGTTTCTCTCTGAGGTGAATACTGAGGTTTGAACTGTACTAGTGGGTTTTCCCAGTTTCACTAAATTTGAAGAGTTGCTCTGGCACAAATTCTCTAATGTACAAATTCTCTAACGTGTTTTTGTGGAACATCCATGAAAGCCTTTCCCACGCTCATCACATTACCAGAGTTTCCAGCTAGTAGGGAGAGTTCTAAGGGGCTTATAAAGCAATGAGGTTTGGCGGAAGGTGCTCCCACATGCCCACATTCACAGGTTTTTCTCAGGTATGAATTTTCTGATGCTTAATACGGGATGAGCTCTGACTGAAGGCCCTTCCTCTATTTCCTGCTTTCATAGGGCCTCTCTCTAGTATGTGTTCTTGGTGCCTAGCAAAGGAAGAGATACAACTAAAGATTTTTCCATACTTACCACACTTGTAGAATTTCTCTCCAGTACAAGTTATCTGATTTTCTTAAACAGTCAGTATGTAACTGAACACTCACTGCACTGATAAGCCTCCTCCCCAGTGTCGGCTGTCTGATGCTGAATAATATGCATCCTCTGATCGAAGCCTTTCCACGTTCATTGCATTCACGTGGTTTCTCACTAGTATGGATTCTTCTGTGTTTGGTAAGAGAGGGGAGGCCCACCCCCTCCTGACATTGATAGGGATTCTCTTTAGTAATTATTTTCTGATGTGGAACAAGAGGTGGTCTTCCCACACACATTACCCCTTCAGGATCTCTCTCTGATATGAATTCTTTAAGTTCTGGTGATATCTGCACTCCAGCTGAAAGCCCTTCTATATTCACTGAATTCATAGGGGTTTTTTCCCAGCATGACTTCTCTGATGTTTAATAAGCGATGCAGTATGAGCAAAGGCCCTTCCACACTCATTACATTTGTAGGGCTTCTCTCCAGTGTGAAATCTGTAATGTTGAGTGAGAGATGAACTCTGGCTGAAGGCTCTCCCACATTTATTGCATTTGTAAGGTTTCTCTCCAGTATGAAATCTGTAATGCACAATGAGTGAGGAGCTCTGGCTGAAGGTTCTCCCACATTCCCTGCATTCATAGGGCTTTTCTCCAGTATGAGTCCTCTGATGCTTAATAAGGGAGGAAGTGTGGCCAAAGGCTCGTCCACATTCATTACATCTGTAGGGCTTCTCTCCTGTGTGAAATCTATAGTGCAGAACAAGAGATGAGCTCTGGCTGAAGGCTCTCCCACATTCACTGCATTCATAGGGCTTTTCTCCAGTATGAGTTCTTTGATGTTTAATAAGGGATGAAATATGACCAAAGGCTCTTCTACAGTCACTGCATTCGTAGGGCTTTTCTCCAGTGTGACATCGCTGATGGCGCCGGAGTTCTGACTGGAAGTGAAAGGACTTCCCACATTCATTGCATTTACAAGATCTCTTCTCTGGATGGGTTCTCTGAGAGTTATTTCCCTCTGGAGTCTGCCTGAATTTGGTGTCACATTTATAAGACCCTTCTCCCATTAGAACACTGTGTTGGTTAACAAGGACTGATCTTAAACCTAAGCTTCTCCCAAATCCATTCCATTCGTAATCTCTGCTAAGGGTGGTAGCAGATTTGTGAGTGGTTGACATTTGTTTCAGATGTGTCTCCTGTTTTATCTGCTGCATCTCTAACTGGCCATCGCAACCGCAGGCTGCTTTCAACTTTGAGAACTGCAGCACATCTTCAATATGTTTTTCCACTGATACTACCTGGAATAATTCTTCTTTGGAAATTCCCCAACTTGGCATTGATTCCTTGGATTTAGACCTTCTCTCCCAGTCTGTTAAAAAAAAAAAAATGAAGACATTCTAGTATGTAGAATGTCCTATGTACCAAGAAAAGCAAGCTCCTATAATAAATGTGAAATAATTAAGCTTTAAAATAATACCTAAAAGGGATGTATGGATTTTTTCAATAATGGCTTATGTCTGAAAATGGTTTTGGAGTATCGAGAACAAGGGATGAGCAGATGACTGGAGATTAAGAAAATCTGAGAAATCTGTGTTTAGATTCCAGTACACAAAGTGAGTCCAAAGACCAAAGATGAGAGGAGGGTAGGAAGGGGGACAAGGGAAATAGATTAAGTTTAAGGGATGGTGACAAAAATCAATAAACAAAGTATAGGATTGTAAGTCACCAGGTACAGATTCTATATTCTCACAATTTCTTCAGGCCTACATAATTGTAACAGAGTTCTACCCAGTCTTCCTACCTCCAGGTTTCCTGAAACCCTTCACTTTCTTCTTTTCCAAATGCCCATTTCCTTACGTTTCTTCCCAGTCTTAATCTTCCAAAGGCTCTCCAGTGCCTACAGGATAAACCCTTAATCTTTCACTATAGCTCTATAATACTTCACCAGGTCCTGTCCTCTTTTTCAGCAAGTGCCTTGAGCACAGAAACTGGCTGCCTTCCTGTTTCCCATATATCCACTGCCCCTCTCACCACTTTCTTTAAGACTTTGCGTACCTTTCAGGGACAAGCTCATGTCCTCCACGAAGTATTCCTTTAATACCTGAGTGCATACTCTATATTATTATATATTATGGACATATACATATCACACGTATCATATCACTCTACATAATTACGACAGGAAGAGAAACTCTCCCCTAAAGATGCCCATGTCCTAAGCACAAGAACCTGTGAGTGGTCACCTTACATGACAAGAGGGACTCTGCAGACGTGACTAAGGGCTCAGAGCTGGAGATGGGGAGATTCTCCTGGACTATTTAAATAGGTCAAATCTAATCACGCGTGCTTAAAATCGGAGAGCATTTCCTGGCTGCACAGAAAGGTGTGTGAGCCGCTGCTGGCTTTGAAGATGGAGGAGGCACACTTTCAGCCAAGTAATCTGGAGTCTCTAGAAGCTGGGAACACCCATCTGTTTATAGCCAGCAAGAGAACAAGGACCTCAGTTTTAGAACTGCAAGGTATTGGTGCTGCCAACAACCCAAATGAAAAGAAAAAGGTGCCCAGACACTCCAGAAAGGTACACAGCCCTGTGGACATCTTGGCTGGAACCATGTGACACACGCGCCAGACTTCTGACCTGTGAACTATGACATGAGTTTGTGTTGTTTAAAGCCACCAGGTTTGTGCCACTCTGTTTCAGACACAGTGGGAAATTAATACAATAATAATAATAACAGGCACACTTCTGAAGAAGGAAATGACTGGTAATGCCTAACCAGTGGTCCCAGAGGCCAGTCAGAGAGTTTCTGAGTCAGCAGGTCTTGTGTGGCTCCTGGGAACCTGAATGTGTAACAAGCTCCCTGGGACGTTCTGAAACATAGCCATGCTTATACACCACTGTTAAATAAACAGATGACCAGATCCAGATGTTAAACCCTTGATCTCATTTTGGAAGGAAAAAAGATCAAGTACCAGTACAGAGGAGATCAGCATCTTCCCCCTCTGCCATAACCTAGGTTCCTCTCATAAAGCCCAGCCTGTCCTCTCAGGAATTTAGCACCACTTTCCTGAGCTTCAGCTATGGCCACGGGTAAGATTCTGGCTCATGGAAATGAACTGGCATAGACTGTCATGTGCCTCCAGTGTGCTTGGGTCACACACGGCAGTCAGAAAGCTTTGAGTCAAGAATTCTGCTCCAAGGCATACAGCCTACCAGGTACTCTCCAGTCACCTAAGAATCCCAGGTCTCAAAGGGATGCTGTCAACGGCTGTCAGGGAGCGGTCTTTGTTCCTGGAACCACTTTTTTTGAGACTCAGCTTAATCAAGCTTGAAGTGTCCTCACCTGGATCTTTCTGACATCTCCTGTCTGTCACTGCCTGTCACCCTTTCATTTCTGGGGTGCTCAACTTTTCTGCCTGATCCCTCACTAACTCCCTTAACTCTGCTGATCTAGGACTGCCTGGCCCTATATGATTGTTGATCCATCTAACATCGACTATGAGACATCTCGTGATGCTGCATGGCACCAATAACCCAGAAGGCATGGGCAGAGATGGGCACCAAACAGAGCACAAAACCTAGAAAAGAAAATGAACATCTCCTCTTGTGACACCAGAAATAATTATAAACTTCAACATACCAGAGTTGAGTGCTCCTGCCAAGTGAGCTCATCTTCTGAAAAGACAGCACCCTGACCAAAGGCTCAGGGCTACCTCCCACCCCAGCTGGGCGTTAGCGTATGCAATGCTCTCACTGCCTCACTCACCTGAGTAGGCCCCTGTTGAGATTTCTCTCTCCACGATGAAGGGCTCGCCCCCTTCCTCCAACTGGCAGATCACATATGGTTTGGATACTGGAAGGCCTGACGGTAGAGAAGGAAAAGGATTTTGGTTGCGTGTGCCAGTGGCCGTGTCTTTGGATCTTCATCTTCAAGGTGGAGAAACACTGTAGGTGTGGAAAGCCTCCAGGGAACAGGCATTGTGAAAAATCAGGAACACACCAGGTAACTTCCTATTTCAACTCCGTAAGTAGCTGGATGTTTCCTGGAACTAGGAACAGAAATACCGTATCACTGGGCCCCAGAGAGAATGTAAATGTCTGATTCCAGACTTCCCAAGGAAACCCAGGGCAAGACTCAGTCAACTGGCCCAGACATCGCTAACTCTTACACATCAAGGAAATCAAGAAGTCCTGTGGGCAGGCTTTGGGCTTTGGAGGCCTTGCTCACCCAGAAAGGCCAGGTTCCTGAAGTTCTCCAGCATCACCTCCCTGTAGAGGTCCTTCTGAGCAGGGTTCAGCTGCCCCCACTCCCCCTGGGTGAATTCCACGGCCACATCTTCGAATGTCATCAGGTTCTGAAACACAGAAGACACTCCTGCTGTGCCCTGAAGGACCTCCCTCACGGCCCAGGGGAGAAGAGCGGGCAGGCATCTACGGAGAACCTCAGGGCATGCAACAAGGGATTCTCAGTGCCCGCCAGCTATCCCAGGGCCCACAGAGTTGTGGGTTTTGTTATCTCAAAAATATTTAAGCTGCTCCAGGGATTGTACCATCCTTACTACTTGGTATCCCACCCAATGTCCCACCTAATGTCCACTATCAACATGAAATATAACCAGTGTCTCAGGTGAATCAGGCCTATGGAGACATTCTTCTTAGTCAGAGGTAAATGTAATACATTTCCTCATTTGTCAAAAGGTCTTATTCTCAATCTAGTTACATTTAATTGGAATCAATTAGAATTAATGATGAATATGCTTTGCATTCTCAAATGCACAAGGATCAACAGTTTTCTAATAAAGTATTTTTGAAACTTGTGACCTATGATTTTAACAACAGTAAGGCCAAATCAAGTAATCTGGAGCTTGTGATAATTTATCCTCCACCTGCCTGCCAGCACACAGTTCCGCAAAAGTAAATTGAGTGGCTTTACGATGAAACAGTAGGTTTTGTGAGTCTGACTAGCATGAGCCTTTCCCCCAAAGCCTGATCATTATTCAGTCCCTAAGTTTACAAAGCTGAGCATGAGACCCTGGACCCCAGGTCGCCCTTGTAAAGTATAACGACTCCACAGGTCCTGGCCAGAACTGTCCTGTCACCTTCAATCTCAGTAATTGGAACACCTCCCACTTGGCTTACAGTGTATGGCAATCCACTGAAAAGCAGAGTAGGTGAAAGCACTATAAATTCCTGTTACTTTTACCCCAAAGTGTTTAGAAATCAAATCCCATTTAGACACGGATTCCACAGAAAAGCTGAAGTAACAATTTTATAATATAAAAATCATCCAAAATAATCAAACATGAAAAATTCACTACTATACTGACCTCTTTTGATAGGTTATATTATTTGTCCAAAATATCCACTGGCCCTCCCTGAAGAATTGAGCTTCTGCCTCCCCCTGCCCCAGGTGGGGCGATGTCATCTGCTTTCTCACACTGAACGTGAAAGACACGAGCTACAGGTGAGCAAAAGCCTTCAGGGCCAGTGGGGGTTCTGCAGTTGTCCCTTCCTGTCTGCCTTGAGAACAGCAAATGATCTGAGTGAAGATGTGGGCAAAGCCACGGCTGTCATGTAACGTGGCAAGAGGGAACCTTTCATGGCGTAAGTCTCTGAGGGTTTGCTGTTGCTATCACGGCATAACTGGCCTATACTGACTCATTAAAAAACTGGTACTCAAAGTGGAGTTCTGCCATAACGAAAAGCCAAAACTAGATGACACTGGAGTCCGGGCCAGGCAGTGAGGAAACTTATTGGCAAGGTGGCAACCCATGTAATTTGGTGGTGAACTGTTTGGTGAAACGATTGCCTTTGGTAACTTGAAAGATGAACGATGAAAGCATGAGCTTGTGATGTTACGAGAAGAGACTGGAAACATAATATTAGTAATGTGAGGTGGTTTTATAGGCTGAGTTTGACAAAGTATTACAAGAAAAAATGAGCTCAAGAGTTGTGGTTTGCAAAACAAAAATGGAAGGCAATAGGAAACGTCCAGAAATGCTAGGACTTGCAGGGTTGGAGACAACCAGTTCTCATTTCCAACTGGCCAAAGACAATATACATCAGCTTCTGCATGACAACGACTAATTAAAACTCAGCCCATTATCAGGGACCAAATCATAGATAGGGTTGTCAAACCTTTGGTTTAAACCTCTGAGTAATTTCAAAAGGCTCCCAGTAAATCTCCCAATAATTTCAAAAGGCTCCCAGTAAAGGCTTTCAGTGGGACCAAACTGTTTAGAGTGAAAAAAAGTATGGATTTTCAAAGGAAATCCAAAAACTCCACAATTAAGGCTAACGAAGGGGGCATATTTCAAAAAGAACTGTGGGTCAAACCACTGACACATGGAGCCAACTGGAAACAAAGTCATAAAAAGCTGTTGAAGTTTTTAGAGTTGCACTTAAAACAATCCTGGGCCACCAACCTACTCTGGCAGGATGAAAAAGCTGCTTTGCCCCCAAGAAAGCTTATTCTCCAGTATCATCTTCATATGACACCAAGCAGGTATCAAAAGGAAGGAACTTCCCAAGGGCAAAGCCAACAGCCAAGGAAAACACTAGGCTGGGGAGCATCACCCAGGGAGCAGAACCAGGGAATAACCTGCAGACTTTCCCACTCCAAGACCACGGGTCCTCACAGTGTCTGTCCAGTGGAATTTCACCACTGCTATTGGACCTGGGACTGGCTCTTCCCATGCTTCCCCTTTCTGCAAAGGAATGTTTACCGAGGCCATCCTGTCCCCATTGCTCACTGTATATTGTATATTGGATATATGGATTCAGGTAACTGTCCTTTTAGTTTATAGGTATCCAGACCCACAGGATCTCCATCCAGACTATCGCACCATCCAGGACTTTGATCATGATGCTCTGACTGGATGCGGCTCCTGGGTTAATTCTCTTGGAGGGCATTTTGTGTGCAGGAGAGAGGGAAGTGAACATCAATGGTTAAGAAAATATACAGTGATAGATGAATTATTTGCTTAATATAATCCCTGCCCTTCCCTTTGGGATCCTCACTCTAGGAGGCTAATACTTCCCACTTCATTAACATTAGGCTTGGCCACAGGACCTGCAACAGCCAGTTGGTTGTGAGCAGAAGCCACATGGGCCACTTCTGATTGGAAGCCCAAAGAGCTATCCCCAGGTTCTGACACTGCTCTTTCCCTCTGATACAAGAACAGCATAGGCTGGGGGAGGGGTGCCCACCATTGCTGAGGCTTCAGTAGGTAAAGAAAGTGGCCAGGAAGCACGAACTGGGTAGAGCCCACTGCAGCTCAAAGAGGCCTGCCTGACTCTGTAGACTCCACCTCTGGGGGCAGGGCACAGCTGAACAAGAGGCACTTAAATGTCCCTGTCTGAACAGCTTTGAAGAGAGTAGTGGTTCTCCCAGCATGGAGTTTGAGAACTGAGAACGGACAGACTGCCTCCTCAAGTGGGTCCCTGACCTCCGAGTAGCCTAACTGGGAGGTACCTCCAGTAGGGGCCAACTGACACTTCACATGGCCAGTTGCCCCTCTGAGACGAAGCTTCCAGAGGAACGATCAAGCTGCAACATTTGCTGTTCTGCAATACTCACTGTTCTGCAGCCTCCGCTGGTGATACACAGGCAAACAAGGCCTGGAGTGGACCTCCAGCAAACTCCAACAGACCTGCAGCTGAGGGTCCTGACTGTTAGAAGGAAAACTAACAAACAGAAAGGACATCCACACCAAAACCCCATCACCATCATCAAAGACCAAAGGTAGATAAAACCACAAAGATGGGGAGAAACCAGAGCAGAAAAGTTGAAAACTCTAAAAATCAGAGCACCTCTTCTCCTCCAAAGGAATGCAGATCCTCGCCAGCAACAGAACAAAGCTGGATGGAGAATGACTTTGACAAGTTGAGAGAAGAAGGCTTCAGATGATCAAACTTCTCCATGCTAAAGGAGGAAGTTTGAACCCATCGCAAAGAAGCTAAAAACCTTGAAAAAAGATTAGACAAATGGCTAACTAGGATAACCAGTGCAGAGAAGTCCTTAACTGGCCTGATGGAGCTGAAAACCATGGCACGAGAACTACGTGATGCATGCACAAGCTTCGGTAACCGATTCAATCAACTGGAAGAAAGGATATCAGTGATTGAAGATCAAATGAATGAAATGAAGCGAGAAATTTAGAGAAAAAAGAGTAAAAAGAAACGAACATTTCTCCAAGAAATATGGGACTATGTGAAAAGACCATATCTACATCTGATTGGTGTACCAGAAAGTGACGGGGAGAATGGAACCAAGTTGGAAAATACTCTTCAGGATATTATCCAGGAGAACTTCCCCAACCTAGCAAGGCAGGCCAACATCCAAATTCAGGAAATACAGAGAACACCACAATGATCCTCCCTGGGAAGAGTAACTCCAAGACACATAATAGTCAGATTCACCAAAGTTGAAATGAAGGAAAAAATGTTAAGGGCAGTCAAAGAGAAAGGCCGGGTTACCCACAAAGGGAAGCCCATCAGACTAACAGCAGATCTCTCAGCAGAAACTCTACAAGCCAGAAGAGAATGGGGGCCAATATTCAACATTCTTAAAGAATTTTCAACCCAGAATTTCATATCCAGCCAAACTAAGTTTCATAAGTGAAGGAGAAATAAAATCCTTTACAGACAAGCAAATGCTGAGAGATTTTGTCACCACCAGGCCTGCCTTACAAGAGCTCCTGAAGGAAGCACTAAACCTGGAGAGGAACAACCAGTACCAGCCACTGCAAAAACATGCCAAATTGTAAAGACCATCAATGCGAGGAAGAAACTGCATCAACTAACAAGCAAAATAACCAGCTAACATCATAATGACAGGCTCAAATTCACACATAACAATATTAACCTTAAATGTAAATGGGCTAAATGCTCCAATTAAAAGATACAGACTGGCAAATTAGATCACGAGTCAAGACCCATCAGTGTGCCGTACTCAGGAGACCCATCTCACATGCAGAGACACACATAGGCTCAAAATAAAGGGATGGAGGAAGATCTACCAAGCAAATGGAAAGCAAATAAAAGCAGGGGTTGCAATCCTAGTCTCTGATAAAACAGACTTTAAACCAACAAAGATCAAAAGAGACAAAGAAGGCCATTACATAATGGTAAAGGGATCAATTCGACAAGAAGAGCTAACTATCCTAAATATACAGGCACCCAATACAGGAGCACCCAGATTCATAAAGCAAGTCTTTAGATACCTACAAAGAGACTTAGACTCCCACACAATAATAATGGGAGACTTTACACCCCACTGTCAACATTAGACAGATCCACGAGACAGAAAGTTAACAAGGATATCCAGGAATTGAACTCATCTCTGCAGCAAGCA